CTCGAGCCATTCTGCGTACAACCGACCTGTTTCCATGAAGCGTCTTTGTTAGCCGCTGTGCCCTAACGTAATCTCTGGCTCCGAGCATTCTCTACTTCTCCCTGCAAAAAAGAAAAAAACAACCCCTAACGAACCCCCGACGCATTCAAACTTTCCAACTCGTGCACGGTCCACCCTCTGTGTGCAGGGCATCTCAACGCGCGATCGCAGTCAGTTGCTTCATGAACTCAAATTCGCTTTGTGTCGTATATTCATCCCTGCAAAGCCGTTTGAACGTCTCGCCAAGCGGAGCACTTCAAAACGACGTTTATTTTCCCTGCGTTTAAAAAATTTGCTCCGCGTGTTTAATTTTTTCTTTATTTAGTGAGTGGTGAAAGAGTCGGGCAGAAGGGAAAAAATAATAACACATTCCAGCGAAGTCGACACGAATTGTACGTGAAATCGATCGGGGGAGGGGGGCAACCACGGGTGAGCAATTTTACGTCGTCGGAACCGGTCGCACGTCGGCGCATTTGGCCGGGTTTTACGGCGGACGTTTTATGGCTCGCGCGGCGAGGCTCATCGGCTCTTTAGCTCACTGGCTGCTCGGCTCTCCGGCTCTCTCACGTGGGCGGCGCAGCAGAGAGAGAGAGAGCCGCCCTTCGTTGAAACTCGGAGCACGGCGTGCGGCCCGGGCGCTCTGCACTAATTGGAAGCAGCATTGCGGCCGCGCCGGGGGCCAAATAAATGGCGAAGCCGCTGCCACGGGCGCGATGACGGCGGCGATGGCGGTGACGGCGGCGACGGTGGCGCCGAGCGGGGGGGGGGAGAGACCCCCGAACATGAGATGAGAATTACTCCACCAGTTCCTAAAAACCCAGCAATATGCGCCCGGTGTGTGTGTCCTCGGCAGCATCGTAATAATATATATTTTTAAGAAGCGCGATGAAACGTACAAACATGCAGCAAGGCAACCACACAGTGAGCCAGCGCCAAAGCTTGCCCGAGCTCTGCGTTCCTCTCTATATAAAGGTGTTATCAGCCAAGTAATGTGGGAGAACACCGGAGCAGCTGGAGGAAAGCGACGCGTGCGTGTGGGAAACGCTGCGTCCCATTTTAGACGAAACCGGTGGAGTGCACGGTTTTTCTGTACCGCCTTCTCCTGGCGAGCCAGGGTACGGCCGCCTCCGTCGACGCCCACGGGAAGGGAGTTTCCCAACATCGGTGCGATCCACCAACCCTCGCGTGGAAGTCCTCCCTCACAACGTTGTGTGTTCAATTAGTCACAACGTTGTGTGTTCAATTAGTCACAACGTTGTGTGTTCAATTAGTCACAACGTTGTGTGTTCAATTAGTCACAACGTTGTGTGTTCAATTAGTCACAATGTTGTGTGTTCAATTAGTCACAATGTTGTGTGTTCAATTAGTCACAACGTTGTGTGTTCAATTAGTTTTTCACTTGATTTTTATCCGGGTGGATGTAACTTCGTCTGATTGGCGTGACGCGATTGAGCGGCATAACAATAAAATAGTTGCGAGGAAAAAAAAATATATATATGCGTACAGACACAAACAACTGTAAGTAAAAAAAAAAGAAAGTAAGAATATACTTCTCGACAAAATTACTTGCTAATACGTTCGCTATTTTGTTTCCCTTCCTGCCATCGCCTTCCTCCCCTCGGTTAATCGTTCGGGTTTCTTGTTTTGCCATCACTTCCCGTCACGGCTAAACTGCGTCATAAATCAATCTCCCTGCTCGTTGCTTTGGAGATTCTAAACTCGGACGTAGCAGGGGCTGGGGGGGGGGGCACAGTTAAAGCTTTGCCTTTTTTTCTCCCCCCAGCAAAGAGAGAAGGGGGGGTACACGAGGGGGGGAGGGGGGGGAGGTCGTAGAACTGAGCCTCGGTCGCCCCGTGTGCAGGCAGAGCAAATTAGCCGCGCGTCCGAATTTCGCGTGCACTGCAAACGAGATTCCGTCGCCGATGAGAACGATCCGTTTCAACCTCGCGACGCCCCCACACAGTGTCCTCTCGCTCCCTGAGAGAGAGAGGGAGGGAGAAGAAACTCGGGAGGCGGGAAGGCAGCATCAAGGCGGTGAGCCGGCACCGACGGTTGCTCAAGCTCTGCGATCCCCTACATGTTAAGATGTTTTCTGCCATGTGGGAGGAAACCGATGCACCATGTGTGCAATGGGGCAACACTATCTCGTACATAGAGAACAGGCGGAGTCGTCCACAGTTTTGCCATCCCACCTTCTCCTTGCACCTCCTCGACACCCACGGGAAGGGAGTTTCGCACCATCCGTGCGGCGATCCACCAACCCTTCGCTGCTGCCTCCGCAGCGCTGGATGACGGGCCACGCGCGTAGTGACGCCGGCTTGAACCGCACGGAGCTCGCCCGGCACACCGATGTCGGGCGAGCGAGCGATCGTCCGTGCCGAAAAATGCCCGCAAGTTCAAAAGCTCCGGCAGATGGTTTACCGCGTGGTCAGTTCTCAACGTCCGATTCGCACGCTTGGCTACGTACGGTGCGAAATAAGTTTTACACACAACAGGGTAGGGATCGAACCCACGGCCTCTTGCATACCAGACGAAGGAGATAACATCTCGCCACCGCGGCGAGGCAACGATGTCGGGCAATGGTCCTTGTTGGCATCGCATGACGGGAGGCCGGAGCGCCGACTGGGTTCGGGACTCCTGAGTGAGCGCGTTGATACATCCGGAGTCCGGAATGCGTGCTCGATCTGGACCCCGGGTGCGTGCAGTGCGCTGTGCTTTCTTCACGCGCACCGATTTTTTCGGCGATGACCTTTGGCAGTCTAATGCGGTATTTTAATTGGTTTGGATTTTATTCAGAACTTTCCTTTGGGGGGGGGGGGCCCATTGTGTGTGTGTGTGTGTGCGTGCGCGTGTCTGTGCGTACGTGTGGGGGATCGGTGGCGCAGCGGTTAGCACGCTGTGCTTGAAAACCCGGCGACCGGGTTCGATTCCTGCTCGCGACCAATAACAATGGCGAAATACTTGAACTGGTCCTGGGCCTCCCCTAGGTTGACTCGGCCTCAAATGAGTACCTGGGGTGACGTGCGAACGTCCCTACTCGGGAGAAAAACGCGTGGTACTGGCCACCCACCCCTCGTGTGCCGTGCCGGCCTTAATAGGTGCTCGCGAACAGCACTTCCCCCAACAGTTTGTTACAGGCTATACGGGGGCATCTTTGTATTTGGGTGTGTGGTCATTTTTTGATGGTTTGAGCTTTAAATACACTTAACGTAGCTTTTAGTAGGCCAGTACAACGATCCATGTTTTTTTTGTGTTCTATGTCTATCCTTGCATATGATGGTTATAAGTTTAGGAACTAAATTGCCAATGTCGTGGTCTGCTGGCTTTAGCAGACAGTTTGTGTAGTTTTGCCGTTCCTCAAATGCTGTAGTCCATAGCTCGGGTTTCATGGCCAAAGTTGCACTGCTTTGGCTTACATCTTTAATTTTATTTCTTTACGAAGGATATGTTCTGATGCGGTTGATCGTTCCACATCGGTGTCTTGGAGGAGGAATGTTAAAGACAGGAGGTGCGGTGATGTTTGGGTCTCGAATGAGGAGGTGTTTATTCTGGACGTCCTCGTTTGTGCCACTCTGCTCGCCAGCTTTCTTCCGGATCTGGGTGAGATTCTCGGATGGGTTGTGCCGTGGTAACAACTTTTTGACGTATTATGGCGGTGAATGTTTTATAAGGAACGTACATATGCTGGTGTCTGGTGCTTTATATCGCTGAACAGAACAATGTGTCTTGTAAAACTCGGCTTATTCCTACAATAACACTGGCCTTAAAAATATATTTTTTTATATTTTACGTAGCACACAAACAAAGCGCAAACCTCTGAGGCAAGCATTTTGAACGACGCTACTGCAGAACCACGTCACCGCTCCATTTTAGCAAATCGTACGCTAGCGGTACGTTAGTATCGTAGGTGTCTTTATTTGGCGTTTGAACATCTTAACACGTGCTTTTATTGCTTGAATGGGTGAAGCATTTTTTTCTCTCTTTATCCTCTTGATCCTTGCAAAAGGGTCCCCGTAGATATGATGCCTTTTTAGTGTTACATTTAAATCTGTCGATGCAAACAAAACAATATAAATGGGATGTTTAGAATGAGTCAATCAAATCGTGACCCTCCCCTTCCCCTCCCCTTTCCCCAAACTGCCGGCCATAGACAGTTGACTATGGCCGGCAGCAGAAGGGGGGGGTGTGTCGAGTGATTCACTGCCCGACCGTTGAAAGGCATTCACAGGAGGTGTACCCGCGAGGCCAATCAGGCCACACACCTCTGCCCCCACCGAGCCAGCAGCTGATGAGCAATCCCGTTCGAGGGTTGCGGAGAGAAAAATGAGAGGTCTTGACCTCCCGAACTTACGCCAGTAGGCCCCTGTAATGGTACCCAATTTACTGGCCAAGATCAAAGGTTGATAAGTGGTTTCGGATGATTGAATCGCTATCATGTGTGCGCTCGAGTGCGCGGTTTGTTCCCGCGGAGGGATTGTTGCTATCGGCGGGGTTGTGCTAGTGGGCGCGTGCGCCCATGTTTGTGCCGCGTGTGTTGCAAGGGCAAAGTGGGGAGCGGTGGCGCTGTGGTCGGCGCACTATGCCGCTCACCTCGAGGTGCGACCCGTGCTCTGGGCCGACGTCGGTGACGAATCGTCTTGACCTGGGCCCTCCGCTCGGTCGACTCGGCCTTAAATGAGTACCTGGTCCGGTGTGTAAACATCGGCATTGGGGAGGCGAAGGCGGTCGGACGCTGTGCTGGCCACCCAATCCCTTTGCATGTCGTGCCGGAGGCGCACGCTGACGTGATTGTGGGCTTCTCGGCCAATGAGAAGCTGAGGATGTATGCGTGTTGAACTTCTTTCGCCCAGTACGTAACAAAACCGTACTAATTGTAGGTGCGGGTGATGACTGCGACGACGACAATGATGATGATGCCCGTATAAGCGATGTGGTGGTATGAACTGTGCGCGTGACTGTAGCCTCACCGTGGACGACTGGCGGCTGGCGTTGCCGTATTACCGCATGGCCGGCCTCAACGCTGCCGCCGTCCTGAGCCGGCATGCGACGTCCACGAGGGCGTACGGCAGGGGCCTCCTGCACTGCCTGTACGGCATGGCCTGCGAGCGCGAACTCCTCCAGCAGGTGACTCCGTCGATGGGCCTCGTGCTTCTTTCGTAATTTGTGCTTTGTGTCGAGACGCTTTCCGACTGAGGTTTGAACCGCATCGAATGCGTTTTAGTGGTCGACTAGGGACCACGCTGAACCGCGCTCGAACACAACACTGCAGATGTGCGTACACGTTCCATAAATGGGAGATTAAAGAGTCGTCCAACTGTGACTGTGGAGAAGTCCAAACCATCAAGCACATCACCGATGAATTCTCAGTCCATGCACATCCTGGCGGTGTCGCTGAAAATCCACACTGCGTCAACCACGTCATTGGACTGGATGAGGAACCTTTGGATTCATTTATGACGATCATTAAGACAAAATAAGAACTTGCTTTTCACAATGGCCCATCCGTCCATCCATCCATTTGTCTACCTTGCTGATCTCCGTCAAGGAACATAAAGCATCACGCATACCTGAAGCACAAATCGATGATTCGTGTGCGACTGTGGTCATCCAGAACAGAGATCGTACAGCGTATAATAGTACACAAATACGAAGGAGACACTGCAGCGATTCACTCCGCCGCTCCTGACGCGGTTGTCTGACTTGACCACCTGCATGTTAAATTGTTGTTGTTGCTCTGCATTGACATCAGCAGCGATAGGAAACAAGAAGAACCATCGGAAATTCCGGTCATCCTCTCGGCAACGGTTTTTGGCGAGCCATGGAACAAAGACCTTCACCGCAAGCCACAGGAGCTATGCACTTTTCAATCTGGATTGGAAACTCGTTTATTTAGAGCTGATGTTTAGTTTGTTGTCCTTCCCCCCCCCCCCCCCACCTCCGTTTAGCGCGTTTGGCTACGTACGGTGCAAAAGAGGTCCTACACACTTGCATAGGACACGGGGTCACGGTAACTCTCATAACGTCGATCAAGTACACGAGTGAACCGTTTCGTCTAAAGATGTGGAGCCCTTGGATCAAACAAGGTGGAGCAAAACCAGACGGATTGCACGGGAGAAAAAATACGAATGAGACGGCACCAATAATTTCTCATATCTGGAATTCAATCGTAACTCTGAATTTTGATAATTCCTCAAATTGCTGACGAGTGCGGTGGGGATGAAGGTGGGAGGGGGGGTAATGGGGACGAAGGTGGGGGGGGTGGTGGGCAGGTGCGATCGTTACTCTGCTACTACGGACGCCTGTTTAACAAGTGGGCTGCTGTCGCGCGAAACCGCAGGAGACGGCCGACCGGGTACTGCAGGTGTTCAGCACGGTGGAGCCGGCGCGCGTGCCGCACCTGGTGGCCTGCCCCGGCATGGCGCTCGTCTCCCCGGCGCTCGCGCGCCAAGCCCTCGTGCCCCCCGCCGACGGTGACGACGACGCCGCCGCCGCCGCGGCGAAGAGGGCCCCGACGTCGCCTCTCTGCAGCCTCGCGGCGGCGTTCGTTTCGCTGCGCGTGGACGACGACGACGCCGCAGAGGCGGAGGCGATCCTGTCGGGGATGCGCCAGGCGAGTGCGGTGCCTGCGCTCGTTTCGCTTGGGAAACCGTCGCCCGAGATTCGAGGGAGTTTTGGCCAGCCGGGTAGGAGGGGCGGCCGTGGGTTGTTGATGGGCAGGGAGAGCAGGTGGGCAGGAGGTAAGGATAGCAGGGTGGCAGTAGGTTAAGTTGGCAGGAGGCCAGGAGGGAAGAGAAGTCTGGAGGGCAATGAGGACGGGATAGAAGGAGAGCCCGAGGGCAGTGGAGCGTGCTGCTTGGGAGTGTCTCTCGTTTGTGGCGTCCCTTTGACACCTGTACTCACCCCACTACCCCACACATCGGTAGAGAATCTTGGACGTCCCCGAAGCGTAATGTCACACCGGGGCCCCCCTTATTCCACCGTCCAAATGCCCTATTGGGGGGGGGGGGGTAGGGAGGCCTTGCTTTTGTGCGGGGCCCGGAGATAATGTCCCCTTTCGCCCTTTCCCCATCCCTGAGTGGCTCTGCATGCTACAGCCACTGAAGAACACTGATTGGAAGTGAGGCCTCCATTGCCCAGGTAGAGGTACTCCTCCACTCAATTTAAACTAAACTAGTTTAATTTAATTTGTCCAGTGGAGCAGGTCAGAACGTTACAACAACAAACAACACAAAAACACGATCGGAGAGCAAAGTACTGTGTAGGAAAGGTAAACCACTTCAAAAAATATACAAATACCAGATGAAGCCCACAGCTCTTTTTCAGAACCGACCTGGCTGTCACAAATGTCAGCTCAACCAAAGTGGCTTGTCACGTGGAAATGTATAGCAGCCAAATACTTTCAACTGCTCTTCGTCAACATCACTCGCACGTGTTCCCCACGCCCCCCCCCCCCCCGCTCCACAGGACCAGGTGGTGCAAGCTGCCCTGCAGGAGCCCCGGCTGGTGGTGCGCGTCGGTACGGAGGCCCCCGGGCAGGGCGGCGAGACGGGCGCCACGGCCACGGCGCTGGGGCGGCTGCTGGCGCGCGGCCACGTGGCGCTCATGGTCTCCACGCTCGTGTCGCTGCACGAGAGCGACGCGCTGAGCCTGACGGACATCGAGGATCTGCTCGTGGTGGGCGAGCCCGCGCGTCGCGTTAGTTGCGCTGTCATGATAATAAGAACAACGGCCGCGATTTGCAACGCGCGCATATTTCGCAAATCGCATGGCAATGTTCGATCGAGAATTCAGAGGCGCGGAGCCGGGGGTGCTCAAAGTCGCTCGTGTGCAGCCCTGCATAGGTGGGTGCCGCGTGTCTCTCTCCTACCGCCCCTGCGTCACATCACTCCGCTCGTGCCGTGTCTCTAAACTAAAAAACTTTATATTTTACCAGGTAAGGCCCACTGAGCTATCTCGGTGTTTTTCAGAAGCGACCTCGCCAGAAATGTACAGCAACCAAAATGCTCGCGTGATTCTCAATGTGGAGGGAGGACCCAGAGAAAAATCCACGAGACCATATAAGAGAGAGAGAGAGAGACGTGCAAACTCCAAATTGAACCCACGACCTCCTGTATACCAGGCAAGGCAGTTAACATCTTGCCACCGCGATTCACCATCGCTCCGCTCGTGCCGCGCTTCTCGCCTCCGTCGCTGCGCGCAGACTCTGGGGCCCGAGAGCGAGGAGCCGTGCTCCGGGGTGGAGAGGGAAGCCGTGCCGTCCATCCTGCTCGACCTGTGGGAGCACCTGACCCTCGTGTGCACTAAGCCCGCCGTGAAGGCCCAGCTGCCGGAGAAGCTGGCGCGTGCCTACCTGCAGCGCATCGCGTCCGGCGACACCCAGAGCCGGCCCGCGCTGCTCTCCGCCCAGGAGCTGGTACGGAGTCGCCGCGTCACGCGTGGCCCCGTGCGTGGCCCCGTGCGTGTCCCCGTGCGTGTGCTCGTGCGTGTCCTCGTGCGTGTGCTCGTGCGTGTGCTCGTGCGTGTGCTCGTGCGTGTGTGTGTGCTCTTGCGTGTGTGCTCTTGCGTGTGTCCGTGCGTGTGTCCGTGCGTGTCCTCGCGTGTGTGCCCGTGTGTGTCCCCGTGCGTGTCCCCGTGCGTGTCCCTGTGCGTGTCCCCGTGCGTGTGCTCGTGCGTGTTATCGTGCTCGTGTGTGTGCCCGTGCGTGTGCTTGTGCGTGTGCTCGTGCGTGTCCCCGTGCGTGCGCGCGCGCGGCGAGGCCCTCGCTGGGAACTGCGAGTCCAGTCGAGCGCAGACGCTGAGCAACACGGCAGACCGACGTGCGGCCTTGGTGAACACCTTGACTTCTGTTGGCACGCGGCCACTGCCACACTGCTCGTGCTGCAACTCGCCACTATGAGCAGCTTGGGTATGAAGCCGGCTTGCAGCTGCCATTAGAGTCTAACCTGCCCTCCTCCTCCATCGAGCACACGGGCGGCACCCATCGCGAGCTCCTTGTTTCGATTTAAAATCTACAGCTTTTTCTTGCCATGTTCTATCCCAGACTTTGGAGGGGACTCACCTGGTTAAGTCACCTTGTTGTAACTTAAAACTCAACAAGTTCGTCAAAAACACTGCCTTAACATAAAAAATACATAATTTATCTATTGCCCTAAACGTCGCCGATTATGTATTTTAAGGTCACAGTGGTATTGTTCATTGTGCTTCTGCACCACTGCCAATGTAGCAGCAACATCACCAAATAATGAGCTATTTAAACTTCTCTTTTTTTTTTTAGAAGCGACCTTGCCACAAATGTTAGTTCAATGAAGTGGCTTTTCACGTGTAGATTTATAGCAGCCAAATACTCTAAACGCGTGATGTTGATTTTAATTAAGGATGGAAAAACTGGAGGACCCTGAAAAGAAATCCACGAGACCACGGGGAAAGAGACAGAGAAATATATCCAGCAGGCATCGGGGTCGGGATGAAATCCACAACCCCCTGTATACCAAGCGAGGTGGTTAATATCCCGTTACGTCTTCGCTGTCGCGTGTCTTTTACTACCTACCATACCGGACCCGTTGACCCTCGGCAACCGGATGCACAGCGTGCCTTGTGTAGAGGGGCTGGTGTCACTCGCTGTTTTACACAGCTTTTGAAACGGCTTTGTGATCCGCAAAAAAAAAAATCCGCTTGCTTTCCATCGCTTATTTGAACGCCTTTGGCCCGCCACCGCCGCCAGTGAGATTGTTTTAATGGAAGGCCCTGGGAGGTTATTTCATGCGAGGAAGATTGACGTAAGTGTTCTACGGGGAGCTCAAATCGGACGGTGAATAAACACAAGGGCTGGCCTTTTGAGGACGTGTGTGTGTGCGCGTGCGTGAAATGCCTCGCGATGTTAATTTAATAATTATTATTTTATTTCCTCGGCTCCGACGGACCGACCGGACCGCCGCCACGCCGACGTTGCTAACTCTATCAATCACGGACGGCCACCGAGCGTGCGTTGTTTGGGGTTCCGCGGAAAACCGGCAGAAATCTCACTCGGCCGTGGGGGACGCAACCTGTAGCACTACCGCCCGCCCCCCTTCGGCGCTCTGATCCAACTCCCAATCGCGGGGTTTGTAGCTTGAAGTAGAGCGAAATAACTGATGATGATGATGACCACGATTGTGGTCTAGTGACGGTACGAGGCGGCGAGGTATTGCCGCTCTCGCCACTCGAATCGCGCCGCCGATTGCTATCTCCCCGGTGCGACTGCGCCGGTGAAGCCGCCCAAGGGGCCCGCCCGCCGGTTCGCAAGCGGTTAATGCCCGTGTTCCTTCGCTGGTTGTTTTTTTGTTGTTACGTACCCTTGAATTTTTTTTATTTTACAAAAATTGTGCATGCCGCAGCAATAATTAAGTCGCGGTTAAAGATGACTTGGTGGGGGTGGGGGTTGCTGGATGGATTTTAAATAGTTTGGATAAACAGACCTGGGAATGCTTCTTTGCACTGATAACATCTCGTGCACACGTTTATAGTTTATTTGTGTCATTGAGATGTTGTGGGCGTCATTCGAACTTGGACGTTTAAAGGACATTACAATTGGCAACTATGATCATGTGATGGTTATGGACTCGCATCCGTCAAATTTTGGCGGTCCATCCCTTCTTGTACTTCACAGACGCATGTATGATCTGTCATCATCCACGTGGACACTAGATGTGCACGTGTGTAATTTTAACATGCATGTTCAGGAGTGTATTTACGAGGGAAGCAAATCGATAATGGCACTAATAGTAAGAATATATCCAGCCGTGTCCAATGCACTGCTGGATCGAGAACCCCCGTGCTGTCAGTCATGGGGGATTGCTTGACCATACTTCACCACGCTGATCATTGGTAAATTGAGGGCGGGGAGCTAAGAATCGGTTCTACTGCCGTTTCGAGTATTTGGCTGATATAAATGTCCACGTGAAAAGCCACTTCGTTGACCTGGCTAACATTTGTGATATCATTTGCGATAGCCAGGTCGCTTATGATAAAGAGCTACGTAGCGCAAGTGGGGGCCTTACATTGTAAAATAAAAAATAGTTCAGGTAAGTTTTAATAGATACGTTTTGCACCACGTGCTGTAGGGGTGTGGGGGTGTGGGGGGGAAGCTTGTTCAACTTGGGATGTGGCACCGAACAACGCACGTGGTACAACCCGGAGAGCAACGCCGCCGATCTTCATGAAACCTCACGCGGCTGGGTTACTCGCGGCGGACTCCCTCGCAAAGGGGCGAGCTGTGGAAACGCGCCGCCGGGTTTTTTGTTTTCATCTTAAAGCAACGCACTGGGCAGCAGTCGCGTCCAATAGCACCGGATGCTGAAAGAAACAAAAATTGAGCATCGCCGCTCATCGGATTTCTCCAGGATAAATAAAGAATCAGATTTTGATCCCAAATAAAGTGCCGCCTCATCCGCCGCCATCGCAGCAGCAGCAGCGAGCCCTTTAGGCACCGTCGTAAGAATGTCCCCCCGCCCACCCGCTCGCCCTCATTGTAAAACCGGGGAAATGCGGGAACGAACAACGAGCAGAAAACCTGAAAACAAAAGGAGAGTAATGATGCGTGACCCACCACTGCTCCTGGCCATTTAACTCCGCACCATTTCCGTACTCGTGCATTTATTTATTTCCCCCCCCCCTCACCCACCTCAGTCGCCAGGTTATATTGGAACGCCTTCCTCCTATTGAGCCTGGGCTTTAATTACCTGATCCCATCATCCAGAAAATTGCTAAAAAAAAAAGAAACCTCAAGGACGTCCTGAGGGGGGTCCCCTTCTCGTGCCACAGAAGCCACAAATCTCCCCTTGCCGCCCGCTGTGTGATTGCTTTAAGTTGCTTGTTTTGAGGAGTTTGTTTTCGCGAAAGAAATTGGCCTCCAGTTGCCCCGGGCGACTAATGTGCGTGCGTGCGTGCTTGCGCGTGGGGAGCGGTGGCGCAGCGGTTGCGCGCGCTTTGCGCTATGAATCCGGCGACCCGAGTTCGATTCCCGCTCATGACCGATTTTTAAATAGTGGTGAATATTTGAACCGGTCCTGGGCCTCCTCTCGTTCGACACAGCCTTAAATGAGCACCTGGGGCAGTATGCATTTAAACATCGCTGCTAGGGAAACAAAGATGGCTGGGTGTAGCGGTGGGTCACCCTACCCCCCTCGTGTGCCATGCTGGCCTTCATAGGTGCTCGCGAACAGCACTTGCCCCAACAGTCTGCTAAGCTATACGCGGAATTCTTGTCTTTGTGTGTGTGTGTCGCGGTGGAAATTGTGGTGAATGCAGCTGTGCAGACATGATCTTGAGAGAGCGCAGTTTTTGTGAATTCACATTAAGATGCCAGCAGATGTACCATTTCCATGAACGCGATGACTTGAGTTTGATTACCAGCTCACATAAATGGTGAAATATCTGAACAAGCTATTGGAGTACCATTGGTTTACGAGGCCTTAAATGAGCACCTGGTGCAGTGTGTAAATAACCAGCACTGGGGAGACAAAGGTGGTCGAGACGTATAGCCCATGAGGCTATACGGGGAATCTTTGTCTTTGCGAGGAGTGGTGGCGCAGCGGTTCGTGCTCTGCAGCTTGTGTTCGATTCCTAGCCGTGCGCAGAATCGACGAAAAGTGGCACCCGAACCTGTTGTGGGCCTCCTCTAGGTTAACTCAGCCCTAAGTGAGCACCTGGTGTGATGTAATTAACGTCAATGCTCTGGAGACGTAATCCCGAATGGTACGATGGTGGGGGCTCCAACACAGCCTTCTCGTTTGCCATGAAGGCCGCAGCAGATGCTCGCCAAAGAGCGCTTGCAGTCCACACGAGACTCTTTACACAGAGTGCAGGTACGAGGCAGGCTGCGTCTGTGAACAACGCGTTGGAGCAGAGTCGAAGGTTTGCTGCTGTGTACGGGGGAGGAGGAATACCCAGCTAGTTGCACAGGAAAAGCCATTAAATGTCAAGGGCATTCTTGCATGTGCCGCCAAATTAAATAATAAACACTATCGAGTTCTATTTCATAATGTTCCGTTGTACGTGGAGAGGACGAACAATGGTCCTTCTGTTCATCTCTCACGGCTCTACCGAGTGTAACGGTTACTCTCCAAACCGACAGAAAAAAATATACGCCGCGTGCCGGCCTCGCTTTAAGAAAGGGAGGGGGGGGTAGAAAAAGAAAATCCACAGTGGCGCTCAGCGATAGAAACGAAAAGTGCTTAACTTATTACGCCTCCGCTAATAGTGAAAGTTGTTGGTAAAATCGTTACGCGTGCAACAGCTGACGCGAAACAAAATGATAAATGACTCCTTGCAGGTAAAAATCACGGTTAGAAAGTGAGCCGAACGGAGAGAGAGAGAGAGAATGGGAGGAGGAGAATTCTTTTTTTCGTTTTCTTGTAATGCCCGAGGGCGAATGTAGCACTAGCGGAAAGTTACGGGCTGACCCAGAGGTCATCGTAATTTTGAAAACATCTCGCTCGCCGCTCTTACCGTGTGGAAGGTGATTTATGATGGAGGCAACAGTGGGTGGTGGGACTCTGCCTGGTTTTTTTTGGCCCGGTCTCCCCTCCACCCCCACAGTCAACCCCGCCGCCGCCGCCGCCGCCTCCTTCCCAGCCCACAACTGGCCGGTCCCTCTTTGTCTGTGCCTTTCTGGTGCAGCAGGGTCTTCGGTGCGCTTGGGTCGCGGAATTAAATTGTCAACAAAGCCTTGCCCCAGCGAGCTACGAGCGACACGGCGCCCCCGTGGTCTCGCTCGCTCCCTCGTTTCTCCACCGTATCCGCACGCTCGGCTTGTTAATAATCATCATTGTCGTCGTCATTGGCCACGATCAATCCGCTGCTAGATGCAGGCTATCCCAAGCCAGCGGCCACCCCAGACACTGCGATGCAGCGACTCCCTCCCCCCCCCCGCACCCGCCACGCGTCCTGCCCTCATTGTCGCTCCATCTCCTCGGTCGACGTGCTCTCGGAAGCGTTCCGTGTTGACCATCATAATTTAGCACGTTTGCTATTCGCGTCTCTCTGATAACAACACAAGGCTAATCACGAGGTGCACTGTATTTCACAGACAGAATCAAAATATTTATTTCTACTGGAGGAATCCGATGCGCTATGAAGCTTGTTCACGGATGTCCAGTCATCGGGTATGGGCTGCCAGTATGGGGGGGCCGTGTTGTGGTTTTTACCACCTCTAAATTTGTAATTTATCGACCTGCGAACCCTGGCGCCCGGCACACCGTGGCTTACTCTCCTTTCAAATAACGTCCCTGGATCTTTGAACGTCCGCTGTGAAGCAGAAGGCGCACGTGAGAGAGTTGGGTGAGAGGTCGATGGGTTTGTCCGTCCAGCGAGGTGAAGTATGGTCAAGCAACGATCCTGTTTTGTCCTTCATCCAGCAGTGGGATTGACAAAGGCCCGCTAATGTATTTGAGCGTGGACCGGGCATCTTCGCAACACGCGCGTTTGGCTGCATCCTCTTGAACGGTGATTTTTGCAAGCGTCCTCGGATGTTGCGATTCGGGGATAAACCCAGTTTTTCCATCGAGTCTGGCGGACTTTATTTGGATTTCACCGCAGTAGGGCACAGGAATGTTGGGAACGGTACCGCATTGGCACGGCGTTCGAGCCACTTTGTGCACCTATGTTTTCCGCCCTCGTAAATCTCCCCCGACCGGTAACCTCCCGAGGGCAACGTCTCCGTGCCCACGTCTCCACGTCTCCTGCACGCACCTCCTCGCGCGCTCATTCACCATTAATTCCACCCCGGTCGAGTGACACCGCGACCGTGATGGAATGGCGCTGAGAGACGGGACAGGCGGACGGGTGTAAGCCTTCGGATAGGAGACGGACTGTCCAGACGGAGACACAAGGTCAGGGCTAATCAAATTTCGTTGCGCACTTGAACGGTAATTTTAATGAGAAAAATATTTTCGTCCTGTCTGAATAACTCAAATCACTCCACCGGTTGCCAATCCAATCCCAGATTCATTTCAAGATCGCACTCGCTCACCTTCAAGATTTGTTCGTGGCCTCACCCCTGCCCTATACCGCTCCCTCTCGATCTGTTCTCCCCTACGCACTCCGCTCCGCGTGCACTCTGCCTCAGCGACTGAGAGTTTCTGTTGAAGTGCTGAGACAACCTTCGCTACTGCCCCCCCCCCATCGCCTTCATCTCCCTTCCCCCAGCCATCCGTCCTGTCGACTCCCTGGCCCCCCCTGTTTAAGTCACGGCTCAAGACGATACCTTTTTAACACAAATCTGGCTGTCGCTTGTTGAAGCTAGTTGTAATCGCTGGCGAAACGTCGTACTCAGTTTATAAATGTCGTGGCTTGGCTCTCCAACACACCGGTGCGCTGTACTAGTGACGAATCGACCATTTTACGTTTACGTGACAACCCTTACTATTTCTAGATTTGAAGCTTTTGTGACTGCAAGGATTCATACTCTTAGGTTTTTTCCGGTGAAGTCACGTAGGTAAAACATGAACCTTTACTAGTTGGCTGTGTTGGGTGGTGGCGGGTTTTAACGACATTTCTAAATTTACATAATCGAACCCAAATAAACCTCTATGGACAATACCTTTTTTCCCCCCCTCCACACACATTATATATATCTGACCACCTCTCTCTGTAAAAGAAACAATTTGTGTGCCCGTCGTCGTGAGATGCGGTGGCGTCACGGAGACATCTTGACCTGTCGACCGTTGTGAAGCGTCGTGATGTTCGAGGAAGACGCAGCCCAGAGGAGGAAATATCTCACGCCGGGCCGTGTGCCGCAGTCCATGCCAGGGCCTTCGCAGGCCTCTTCTACCATTTGCTGCTGATGCATCTCGTCAGCATCGAGGAGTAACACAACACTATAGTCGCCCGCCGGCGAGTGACTCGTGTTTTTTTTGTTTTGCAGAGGGAGCTCTCGAAGGCTCACTTTGGGAAGGTGTTCCCGTGGGTGGCGCTGGTGATGAAGGAGGGAGGGCTGCAGATGGACGACCAACGCACCCAGCACCTGGAGAAGCTGCAGGTACCAGCAATGTCCCTCCACACTCTCCTGCCACTCCCCTCTCATCTCACTTTACTCCCCTCCACACTCTCTCCTGCCCCTCCCCTCTCATCTCGCTCAATTCCCATCCACACACTTTCCTACCTCTCCCCTCTCTTGTCACTCTACTCTGCACCACGCTCTCTCCTACAATGATGATTATTATCATCATTGTTAGTTTCATCGTTGTCAACATCATCTGTCCCACCATCACGATCGTCATTTCCCAAGAGCACAACTTAGTGGAAGGTCAACAACGTGACTTCTTTCGGACGAACCGATTTCTGCCATAGCAATGTGGAACTTCCACCGCCGGTGGCATCGCACCACCGCTGCCACCGCTCGCTCGTTTTGGACCGTTGGCAACAATCTCGGCTGCCGGCCGAGCCCATCGCGGTCAGAGCGATCTGCCGCTCCTCTTCCCCGCGCCTGTCAGGGCCCCCCCCCCCCTTCTCCCCCCCCCCCCCCCCTCACGTCGGACGGTCCCAAGCCGCTCCCTGACGAGCACGGTGATGTGACGGCAGATCCGTGGCGCTGGGAGGGGATGACTTTTCGGCCCCGTTGTAAGTAAGTGACGGTTAGCGCTGCGAGCAACGGTTACAGGCCCTTGGGTAGCCCCGAGTCGCTGATAATGGAGCTGTCATCCAGCAAGTTCGCGTTTTTTTTTCTGCTTCTTCTTCCCATCCCCTCCCCCCCACCCCACCGATCTCGCTCGGTTCTCCACTGGGACGTGGAGCGGGAGGGGGGGTCTCAGCTCCCCAATTCAGCCCCCCCCACCTCCCGCCCGCACCCCTCCCCCCTCCGCGACACGTTCTTAAACCGGGTGATTCTGACCATGATGAATGTGAGGGCACGAGACTTCATTACTCCGCTAAATGACACGCGCAGAGTTCACAGCCATGCTTTGCTCTCCTTTTTTTTTCCCTTCCATGCGTGTTGGTCCGTCCGACAAGATCAGAAAAACGTTGATGCCCTTTTTCCATCCCCCCCCCCGCCCCCCCAGCTGCCCTCCCCCCTGCCCTGAGCTGGCGATGTGGCTGAACGCTCGGTTAGTAGCTCTTGCTAATCTCTGGGTGGTGCGCACAACGTTGTGATTTTTTTTTGGTGTTATGAGCTCGTTAAAGGTTTTTTTTTACTTGTTAAGCGACCTTTTTTGTCCACGCTTAGCGCGGCGGAGTTGCGCCGGCAGAGATATCGATTGAATTATTTAGGCGTTTTTGAAGAACGCGTAGGGGACTTACAAAAAAAGTATTGATCTTGAGAGCCACTTCTCTGCTTGCTCTGCTTATTCAGATTTTGAGCCAAGCTGGGCCAAGATGTGGCAAGGATATATCGGCCATCGATGTTCACTCACGGGCAACCAGTGAGCACAGACATATGATAGTTCTTCACTTATCCCTATACCAACAAAAATTACATGTATTTAAGAACGCACGATAACAAAAACAAATACACAACTAAAGAATGAAAATTGTTTACTTCAAATCTTATCAATGCTTCTCGTACTGTCCGGGAAACGTATTCCAATATGGATGAAGGCTATTTAAAACAAAAAACTTGCAGAAATGTACATATGATCTTCCTGCAGGGATCTTACATTGATTTGTTACAATAACTGCAATGTGCATGGAAAGCCGGATCAAGAGATTACATACGAAAGTTAAAGACACCTTATGGACCGTTAAATGTGAGCACCTATGTTGAACTTCATTAGCGCCTACCGTACGTGAGCCAACGGTGCTCACGAGATAAATTTCGATTTAAAGCTTTCGTGACTGCAGGGATTCATCTTCTTGGTTCTTTCGGTAAAGTCACGTAGAAGGGAAATAATAAAAATAACATAATAAAACAATTCTCACGACGCTTCGGCCACAATGCAAGCAGCCGTCCTCAGGTGAAGAGCAGGTGAAGAACAGGTCTGTCGGGAAGACAGCGTCTGAATGAGACATACAAAGTAAAACCTCACAGAACGTCGTGAGAATTATTTTATTATGTTTTATTATTTTATTATTTCCCTTCTACGTGACTTTACCGAAAGAACCAAGAAGGTGCTCACGAGGTTGAGACTGGCGTATGGAGGCCATTATTTGTAGTCACGTGACTGTGTCGCTGTGCGTACGCTGCCCCCACGTCGCGGTGTGTGCGTGCGGTACCGCTTGGGGGCGCCAAAGTTACAAAAAGTACACCGAGAGCCAGCAGGCCGTTTGCCCAAAACGTTGCCTAATTTAGTTTTATAATTTTAATGCCACGGTGTCATTGGCGAGCGTGTCAAGGTTTTGTTGTTGTGAGTTGTGCCCCACTGCCAACGCAGCAGCATCACCACCAGATGATGTGTTCTATACCCATCACGCTTTGCCCTCACAAACATTTCCTTCTATTATTTTCGTAGAAGCAAAGCTGGACTACTCTTCATAGATGTACAAATCGAATCGTGTTCCAGTCCGTCGGCTCGTCGGTTTTTCCAGACCGGTGTTATCCGTTAGACGCAAGCGTTGCTCTCAACCGGTTTCCACCTTCTGGGTCTCATCGTCAGCATGTGAGACTCTGTGAAACAAAGCAACTTGAATGTGACATCGTGTACTGTGCGTCGTTCTTTCAAGTCTGTTGCATTCTAGCCGCGCTACGTAAGGGTCGGTCTATACTTTGAGCCGTGTGTGGCAACTAGTAAATTTGTTCGGGTTTTTTTTATGTGTGTGTACATATATATAAGCGTACAGTCGTGTCAAGCCGACGGAGGGGGGTCACGTTTGCTCGATCTTTGAGCCTGACTTGACAAACCCACCCTGTACACAAATTAGCCGAGGTGGGCGAGGTCTTTCTTTGAAGGTAGTAGGAGTTCCCCTGAGTTCAATTCCTTCCACATGTCCAACAATGAAATGAGAGTTGTAATCGTCCACACTCGCTTGGAACACCTCGCCCGAGGCACCTGGCTCGTTTTAAGGAGGGAGGGGGTCCTGCATCGGGATGTTTGGCAATTTCTTTGATGGGCATCGACATAATGATCCTCATTGAGACATCGCGATGCGTGAGCCAACACGGTCAGAATGGCACTTGCTTCATTCGTCCTTCGTGAATCTTTTCAAGTAGATGCGTGGATGGGGTTGTTGGTGTTGTCGTCGTCGTCGTTAGCCGGTAACTTCCCACTGCACGGCAAAGGCCTCTTCCGCCATTTTCTTCGTCTCCTTCCTTTCCTCAGCTGCTCCTGTCCCATCCGTGGCCGCCCCCTGTCCAGGTTGTGACCTGCTGTCTGCGCTGTGACCTCGCGAGCGTTGTGGTTTCTTCTCACTGCTGCCGTCTTCTTCCACCGACTGCCTTTGCTCCTACTCCCCTCTCTCAGTCTCCACCCCGTAGTTAGTTTTGTCTCTCATCTCAAGTCATGTGTTCTTGTGATGGCGTCTTACCTCATTTCCACTTGCTTTAATTTTCCTTTAACAGCAGCATCCTCATCAGCGTGACCCCCCCCCCCCCTCTCCTTATCTTTATTTCTTGACTTCTTTGTCCCTTTCATTCCTTAACCAACCCCCCCCCCCCCCCTTCGACTTTCTCGCGTTAGATTGACGTCCCGACTGCACCCGTTTTGCCGTAGCGAGACCTTGGCCGTGTGCGAGCCCCTCCCGTACAAGTTCACAGAGATTCCTCGCCCCCCAATTGGCATGTTTGGCTACGTACGGTGTGAAAGAAGTTCTACATCCATCCATACATACATGCTCGGATACAGAAGCAGCCGCAAGCGAAATGCGTGCGGCCAGTTTAAGGAAATGTGCATTTTTTTTGTTGTGTTTTTTTTTCCGGAGAAATCTGAAGGCACGACGAAGCCAGCTTCCCACGACCGCACGCTGCTCCTCGATAACATCTTTCCCGAGGCATTAGCGTCATATCCCGAGAATCTTACAGATGCCTTCGTTTGCCTCTGCGAGCCCTTTGCAAACGGCAACGGAAGCCTGAGAATCTTAGCGGCGCCTTAATTGGAGGTCTGAGCCTCGAAGCGCAACGGCGAAGTGAGAGAATCTCAAACGGTCCCTTAGTTTGACTCGGGGGAGCCTTGGGAGAGAACGTGATATCCGCCAATGCCGACCAGCCTGGACTCTGGACACCGTGGCGCAGCGGGGATCTTCCCGCCGAAACACAGTGTCCGAACCTTGGACAGTAACATTGGAGCCTGTGAATCCTGAAGGTGCAAACATGCCTTCACCTGGCTCAATGAGCCTCAGCGGATAATAACGCAGAAACATAATGCCAGTAAAAAAACTGGTTGTCGGAAAAGACTTTTGGAAATTCAGCTCTCATCAACTCGTATTATCCACTCTGTTGTCTCTCTCTGGCTTCATAATTTACATTCCGTGAAGAAGGGCCATTGCCCGAAACGTTAACTATTTATATTTTGTCCCTCTTAAAGCCCACGGTGTGACTGACGAACGCGAGTTTCCTTGTTAATAATTCCAAAGGCACTTAGTGTATGGCGCTCTGCGTGTAATGTAGCGCTCGAGTTGCTTGTGTGTTTACACGGTTTGTGTGTACCAACTGCTGGCGGTCCATATACTTGGTTTAATCGTGGCCATCTTGGTGGCCACTGGCACCGAATTGTTCACGAGAGCTTTGTAGGAATCCTCCCCCGTGCAGGGAACCACGACGTGTAAAACTCCCACGCGCCGGTATCACGGCCCACATTTGAGAGTCGCCAGCGTGCGCGATATACGTAACAACAAGTCTCGGATGCTGGAGGAGCCGGAGGAAAAGAGTCGTTTTTGGGAATGAAGAGGAAGGGCAGAGAACAGGGGGCAGGATGGAGAAGGTGGAAGCTCTGCAAGTGCAGAGCACCAAAGCAGCAGAATAAGAAGAAGAAGACGCATTCCGTGGAGGCGACTGACCTATTGCGAACGGATCGAACAGAATTCTGCAAACGTGACGCGAATGTGGAGGGAGGAAAGAAGCGGGCGATGGTCGACACGACTCTCAAGGTTTTCGGGGTGGCGCTGTGGAGC